AGGTGCTGCTGCAGATAGAGAACCTGCGGCAGCTGCACTGACACCGATTGGGGTGTATGTACACCTGGCGGAGACAGACAGCATCAAGACACAGCTGCATGCGCATGCAAACTGCAGCACCACAGCAGGAGACGCTGGTTGCTGCCCCCATACACAAATATATAAAAGACAGCAACAGCAGCAGCAGCAGCAGCAGCAGCAACAGCAGCAGCTTGCTTGCTGTAACTGTGGCTTGCAGCTCTTGCTGCTGCAGCAGCACAGCAGCAACTAGTACTGCTGCTGCTGCTGCTGCTGCTGCAACATGGCTGCTGCTGCAGCAGCAAGGCTGTTCCATTTCAAACCAACTGCAGCAGCAGCAGCAGCAGCAGCAGCAGCAGCAGCAGCAGCAACAGCAATAGGAAAAATAAAACTGTTTGCAGCAACAGTTTATATAAGTTGTCTCTTAAAAGCCAGTCCTTGTGGGGAGTACGGGGTGTATCCCTGTCTCCTTTTTCTGTCTCCTGTCTCCTTTTTCTGTCTCCTGTCTCCTCTCTGCTGTCTCCTGTCTCCTTTTTCTGTCTCCTGTCTCCTCTCTGTACTGTCTCCTGCCTCCTCTCTGCTGTCTCCTGTCTCTCCTGTCTCCTCTCAGCTGTCTCCTGTCTCCTTTCTGCTGTCTCCTGTCTCCTCTCTGTACTGTCTCCTTTGTCTCCTTTGTGCTGTCTCCTGTCTCCTCTGTCTGTGGCAGTAAGAGCAGCAACAGCTGCCGCCCCCTCCTCGACCTCTGTGGGTCTTCTTTAGGGCCGCAGCAAATGAGGGGGGCACTGACAAGGCTTGCTGCTGTCTTTGTTGCTACAGAGACAGACAGAAAGAGACAGAGAAAAGGAGACAAAGAAAAGGAGACAGAGAGAAGGAGACAGAGAGAAGGAGACAGAGAGGAGACAGAGAGAAGGAGACAGAGAGGAGACAGACAGAAGGAGACAGATAGAAGGAGACAGACGGGAGACAGATAGGAGGAGACAGACGGGAGACAGACAGATAGATATAAAGAGACAGAGACAGATAGAGACAGAGAGAGAGAGATAAAGAGACAGAGACAGAGAGGTAAAGAGACAGAGAGACAGAGAGAGATATATAAAGAGACAGAGACAGACAGAGACAGAGACAGAGACAGAGAGAGACAGAGAGAGACAGAGAGAGAGAAGAGAGAGAGCACCGCGGCATTCATATATATAGCCTCTGCATACACTGTGCCATATGTTACCCAGTGAATACACTTTGCTGCTGCTGCATCCCCGTTGCTGCAGTTGCTGCTGCTGCTGCTGCTGCTGCTGCTGCTGCTGCTGCTGCTGCTGCTGCTGCTGTGCATATCGATAGCCAT